AGTCGCGATCGCTGTTCTCAGATCGCTCCACGACGTTGTCAAGCTGCTGAGGCGAAGTCACGATAGACCTGTCGAAGAGGGTGTCATCAGCGGAATCCAGAGATCGTTCGTCATGGTGTCGTTTGGTGGAACCTTGCCCTGGATTGCATTGTGGCGATCCCTTGCAACCAGAGCAGCAGCTCAGTTTGTGCCCCGGCAAGGTGCACCTCGACTGCTCGTTCAGAGTCGCGCAAGGCGCGGTATCACAGCAAGTGTCCGCTCTTCGGGACAAGACATGCTCGGCCGACTCGAGGGCGCTCCGCGGAATATGAATGTCGTCGTTGAAGCTGTTCGTGGTGGACTCCAGAGATCGTTCATCATGTTGCCGTTTGCCCGGACCATGCTTTGGACGGCACAGTACCGATCCCTGGCACCCAGTGCAGCACGGAGCGTATTTGCCTGGTCCGCACAAAGCTTTGTTCGTAGCGCAAGACGCTGTTTGACAGCAAGCATCTAGCTGCCTCGGAAGCAAGCGGTCCTTCTCATCCGAATTGGCAGGGCTGCGAGAGAAGATGCGATCGTCGAAGGATTCGACGGCAAAGTCCAAAGATCGTCGAGTATTAGGCGGAGGGGCTGGTTTAAACCGCCCCTTCCCCCCCCAAGACTTAGCACCTTGACACATTGGTGTTCCCTTGCATCCGAAGCAACAATCTGGGGGACTGTTTTGGAAGCATCTATGATCAGACCCACAATTGTCGTAGTTGCAACACTTGAAGTCGTCTCTTGCAAAAAGCGAGCCAGTGACGGGATCCGTGACTCGCGGAGAGACTTCGCGATGCACGAGCGATTCCGCCGAGTCCAAAGAGCGCTTGCCTGGCGGCTTCTTCTTGCACTTTGATTCCTTTTGGCATGAATAGCAACACTGTTCCTCTGGATACGGCTCGCCGTTGCAGAGCGAAGGGAAGTTGCAAGGGGGGATCTCGCAGCAGTCCTTGTACGGTGGTGGAGGGATTTGCCTTGGCAGCAGCATGACCGACATGTCCTCAGTTGGAACGCGTGGAAGCAGACCGCTACCGACGTTCTCGAAGGACGGAACCTTCGGAGATTCCACAGAGCGCTTGCTCGAGAGCGTCGATTTGGGGCATTTTTGCAGATCCTTCTTGCACGAAAAGCAGCACTGATTCGTGGGAGCTTCCGACTCGCAATCAAGTGGCCAGAACGGGCAAGGATCGATCTGACAGCAATTCGTGTAAGGTGTAGGCGGAGGCTGCCTTGCCAGCAGCAAGCTATCAGCAAGCTCGTTGCGAGGCCGAGCGGGAGATTTACCGCAAAGCTGCGAGTTGCCCTTGCACCCGTCGCAGCAAGGGAGCTTCTGGGAGCTCAGGCAAGACAAAGCTTCTACTTCGTTTTTACAGGGATCTCTGCTACAGCAGGGCTGCTGTGCTCTTGGCAGCAAGATATCGGTCAGCTCGATGCGACGTTGAGGGGGTGGTCCTCCACAAAGTTGCGGGATGCCTTTGCACCCGTCGCAGCAAGGCAACTTCTCCTCGGTGAAGCAAGTCAAAGCTTGTAGCTCGGTGTGGCAGGGCTCGGTGTGGCAGCAGGCCTGCTGGGCTCTTGGCAGCAAGCTGTTGGTCAGCTTGATGCCACGTCGAGCGAGGGATTTTCCGCAAAGCTGCGAGTTGCCCCTACAACCGTCGCAGCACGGTGATTTATCACTGGTCAAGCAAGTGAGATTTTCTTCCGGGGTGTGACAGGGATCAGTGTCACAACAGGGTGAGGGCCTCCTTGGCAGCAAGCTATCGGTCAGCTCGTCGCGACGTTGAGGTGGTTTGGGGCAAAATTGCGAAATACCCTTGCACCCGTGGCAGCAAGGCAGTGGGAAATCTGTCGAGCAAGTTTGGACCTCATGGTAGATATGGCAGGGTTCGATGTTGCAGCATTTGTCCTGCTTCCTTGGTAGCAGGCTGTCGACCAGCTCATTGCGGCGACGAGGAGGAGTAGGAGGAGGTCGACGAGGAGGAGGCTTTCGAGGTTCTTCTCCGCACTGACTGGGCGATCCCTTACAAGCATGACAACAGTTGTCTGGCCACTCCGTCTTGCAGGTGTCCTTTTGCTGCTGGGTCTGACAGTAGTCGACATCACAGCACGACCTGCGCTCTTGCCTTGGCAGGATACTGGTTGGAGGAAGCGCATGAGCCTGCACCTCGCCACTCGCGTACAGAAGAGTGATGGTGCACACCACAATCGAGACGAGGACGAGGTGTCGCATCGTGGCTAACGAGCCCTGTCTGCGGTGTAGAGAAAGGTCGGATCAGCAAGGGAAGGGCGAGGTAGATAATGTGTATATGGACTCAGACTCACGGGCAGCTGGCTTGTAAAACAAAAGATGCTCCTCGCTTGACCAGGACAGCTAGAAGAGGTGATGGGAGAGGAAACGGGTGAGCTGGAGGACAGAGAGCCGTTTCTCCATTGGGCTTTACGTCTCCTATTTATAGGCGTGAGCATGCACCAGACGAACCGCGGGCTTGCGGGCAAATTCGCTGGCATGGGGCAAGCAACGGTTTCGACTCCTGTGCAGACGAGCCCATCCCATCTTGCTGCGACGTGCCACTTCAAAGAACAACAAAGAAACCTGACCTCTGGTCCGTTTTGTCTGACTGCGCCTGTGGACCGTGGTGGCGAGAAGGACAGAGTCTACAGAGGTGTCCATATTGGTAAGAGGCGCACTCATTCCATGATCACGGTGCTCAATACCGCGAAGACCATACATCAGTCGCATGCTCGCAAGCAGGCGCAGGCTCCGCGCGGAGCCCGCGGACGCAAATGTGTCGCATGTAGCCGTCGATCCCGCCCGGATATTGAGGCTGTACGATCTTCGCGGTCCATATTGAAGAACGTTGCCTCTACAAGCGCAAACAGAGCTGCTTTTGGGTGCTTTAATTGTGCGACTCGCCGCTGAATGCTTCCGAAATTGGGATTTGTCTGCGTAGACTCATCCTCGGCGCACATTGGCCCGCTATCTTTCTGGCACTTGTTGGTGCAAAATTGTTTCACGGTGCCGCGTAGTTGATGCTCGAGAGTCTGTGTTTTCTCCTTTCTAAGGGTGGATGTGTGGGGCCGGCGCAGAAAAATTACAAAACGAGGGTGCTTGCGGTCCGCGGACATTCCAAGGTAGCACGACACGCGATGTTGATTCGGGGACAGTGCATTGAACCGTCAGCGCGCGCAACAGTGGATCCCTCGACCGACCAATGAGCGCTTTGATAACCAGAATTGGTCCGCCTGTGCTATAGTTACGTGTGGAAACCAACGCCATTGAGGAACAAGAGGGATGGTTGGTGCACCCAGCCATCTGTCTCACGCTGGGTCATCGCATTCTTGATTAGTGATGGTGGATGCAAAAGAGGCTGCGCGCATCACGCATAGGGTGTTTGCATGCAGAGTCACGTGCGACAATCTGTGACTTTCGCTTGCAGAGAGGGCCATATACGGACCACGGCTCGAGAGGCATCCTCCCGCTTTGCGAGTCACGAGTGTGTGTGAT